CAGTATAGGAAGTATTAAGAAAGAAAAATGACCTGAAATATTCCAAATAATATTATCCATTTTTTTTTTCAAATATTAAGTACCAAACATACACCAAATGATTATGACACCAAATGTCATCAATATGGATATCTAATCTCGATAAGATTGATTTCAAAATATTTATTACCATGTCAACATGAGATTAGTGCTCCCTTTTTTACAACTTGATTAATTTCAAAATTTATATGTTATTTCATACTTTATTAACGTTAAGATATTAAAACATACTGAATAATCAGATTTCTTGAATAAAATATTATTAAAAAAAAATTCTCAAAATTTCAAAGTAAATGCGTTTTCCATTTTTATGTTTTCAAAAACAATTTTTTAGAATGACAAAAAGAAAGTATTTTCAAAAATTTCAAAATAGACACTCAAAACACAAAATACAAAATGAATTCAAAACTCAAAACACAAAATTGAAACACAAAGAGAATAGCCCCTTATTTCTTTAAATGTTCTCTTCAATACACCTTGTAACGTATAGGCTAACATAAATTGTAACTGAAGTCGATTCCTTGAGTTGAAGCGAATGATAACGTTCATTTGGCTCTTGAATGCTTAGCCCATGTTTGAGCCATATTAAAATTTTCATTCTTCTACTCATTTTCAACCATATATTATTCAATAAAATAATATTTTCAATCACATCAATAAGTCTTCCTTCTTTTTCAACCACATATTTTCAATTAATATATTATTTCAAAATATATTCTTCCAAAATAATGTGACTCAAAGTCTCAAACACACCCTTATTGAGTGTTTTTAAGAACGAAATTAGTTTTATTGAATAATAACTATATTTTGCTATTGGGAAAATTGCGGCCGCGGTCCCAAACCTTTCATTTTGTTGCAGATTACACCCAAACCTTTAATTTTTGCAGTCGAAGTCCCAAACCTTTATATGTAATAGCAGCGTCGGTCCCAAACCTTTACTTGTTGCGGTAGAAGTCCCAAATATTTGTACATAATTGCAGCGTCGGTCCCAAACCTTTGTATGTAATTGCAGCGTCGGTCCCAA